GAAATGAAAATTTTAGCTCCTCAATAATACTAGTAACATTTCAGAACTAAAAGCCAACATGTGGTGGCCGGGTCCCCAGTTGGACAGTGGCAGATAAGTGTATTCATTTTTCAAGGTGAATACATCCACCAAGAGAATCAGCCAAAGCCCTAGTGCACATTAGGATTTATCTCCTGCTTGGGAACTTCTTTTTCAGTTCTAGGGACAGATCGCTCAGACCCTGGATCTTTTTCATGCAAGACCAATGCTGCAGTTAATCCCAGACTTTCACCTGCTGGTCTTGTGACATTGTGGTTTGGTACTAGCAGGCACAGGCATGAGTTCCAACCCTGTTAGGGCAAATGATTGTCTTAAGAAAGCAGTGATGCTGTTACATACTAGGAAGAGAGTTTCCATAGTGTAGTGGTTATCACATTCGCTTCACCCACTAGAAAGAGAGAGGTGTCCCGATGGTTCCCTTGAATATGTCTTGGGAACCCCTTCCTGATCTCTGTAGGAAATGGGCAAGGTCTCTTTTCATAGCCTGGGAAGGGCATAGAGACCTTGGGTTCAGGACCCTGAGGGAGGAAGATCTTTGTTCCACCACCCTGTGAGCTACTGTGAGTGCCAATGCAATGTGAAGCTATCAAATTTAGATTTGTCCTTTTAAAAATCAGCAACCAATCCAAACTTCTTTCTGCTGAGTTAATAAGAAATGCCTCTTCTCAGCTCAAAAGAAGTGACAGAACATGCAGATGCCACCAGCCCCAGGAGGCTGCAGCCTGGTTTAGAGGAAGATGTGCTGAAGACTGCTAAGTGATAAAGCGGTGGAGAGCTGCACTGCCTCTCTGTGCCTCCCTTCCCTCTGCTCTGTCCCTATGTCAGGCCCTCACCTACTCGTACAGGGGAGATGGCTATTTGAAGCACATAGACCTTTCCATCTCCTGAGAGCAAGCTCTAGATAATTTTCTATTTGCCAAAATATGGAGTTTTATCTGGCAATCTGTGAGAAAATGATCCTACATGCATGAACTGAAGTGGCTTGTACCATTACCAAGAACAGTAGAGGTGCTGAGACTGAGGGCACCTGGAGTGCCAGTAGAGTACATAGTCTTGTGGTATAGGAGCCAATGGCAATAGAGAGCATACAGTATTTGTACACTAGACTTTCTCATGAAAACTGCGTGAGGAAATGATCAACCAGATTACCTGGGGGGTCCTCCTCAAAGGGTATGGAATGAGCAGTCTGAACTTCTTGGCATTGTCTATTCAAATCAAGACTGATATCCATGCTGACTGGCTGTGGAGTGCCTGCTTAGCTTTAAATCCATTTAACGAATTTCACCTGGAAAATTTTAAAAAGGTGTTCATTGTACATTTGTTTGGAGTACACCTTTGCTCCATACCAAAAGAACTTCCTAACATACCTCTTACCAGGGATCTTCAGGTGGAGAGATTTGCCTGTTATCTCAGCACTGAGTCCTGTCTTGGGCGGAGCAGATAATAGTACGGATATAGAGAGCATACAGCTCCAAACTGGGCAGGCGGAGGATGGACCCATGAGGCACAGCAACAAGAGAACACCATCAGTCAGCACAGTGATTTGGGCAATTTGGGCCACCACCTGCCATCACACTGGGGAGGACATCACAGCTGTCCTGGGATTGACAGGTGTGCCCAGGAGCCTGAAGGGTGTGGGCATCACAAAGGAAACTCTGCAGTAAGATTCTGTGGGGTGGCTCCTGCCCAGGGCCTTCAAGGTACAGAATCAGCTTGCTCCTGTCCAAGGAGAGAATATGCATGGCTGAAACTCCTAGGTGTGTGAACAGAGAACCCTAGGTGCTGTGTGGTCAGGGCATGAGAATTGATCCAAGGCTTCTTCAGCATCTTCCATAGAAATAGCTATCCTGAACACATAATGGGTCTGCTAGTATTTCAGTGGCACAGTATCATCTAGTGACCTAAGGAAAAGTGGAGTATAATGCTCTCCCCGTCCAAAAAAAAAAAAAAAATCGGTGAAGACAAGCTATGTTTTGGTGAGGATTTGTAGTGTCAGCATAAGTGATCACGTATTAGATGCTTAAATAAAAATGTGATGTGTTAAGATAAAATTCTCAGAGGAGTTTTGAGCAGGTGAGATAGGCATAGAAATTTTCCAGCCTTTTAAAGAGCCACTTACTTGCCACAGATGCTTCAGATACATCATCAAGCTCACTCCATGAGGGGTTCTTGTTCCTCACTCACCAGCACTTGTCAATATTTCGCTTCATAGTAACCTTCAGTCTTAGGCTGAGAACTTTCTCCTGTCTGGATGGTCAGTCCACTAATCTGTAGTGTTTCTATAGCACACATGACTGTCCTTGTCTCAACATCAGGACTAGTACTATTCAGCATACTGAAAACTAGGATTTCCTTGCAGGCATGGACACACAGGAGAGTGGAGCAGGGGAGTTTTATTTTTATCTCAATATCAAGAAAGAAGCACTTATCACCTACTCAGAGGACTTCAGGGTTTGGAGAAATTCAGCCAAAGCGGATGTTTTTCTTTCCTCTACTGTGGTGAGTATGGCCCTACCTCACCTACAGCTTCTCAGGGAGCTTTTGGCTTTGACCACCCACACAAGCTCATGCACTTGCACATGGGTTATAGAAACCTTTCTCAATAACTCATTTCATTAAAAGCCTGCAGAATGGTCTCAAAATGTATCAAAATTTATCTGGAAAAACAAGGAGATTACTCTGCCTGTCAATATTTATCACCCATTTGGGAAAGTTTGAGAGCATGTTATTTTGCTTCTCTGGCACGGAACCCAATGTCTACTTCTCATAGTCCAAAGTTAATTTTTATGTCAAAAGGCTGTTGCTATTGGAGGGTTTCCATGGTGAGCAAAGTGACAGGCAGGGCCTTCCACCTGCTGTGGGTGAGGGCAGTGGATTCTGGGCAGTTCCCCTGCGAGTGGGGTGCACCCATTGCCTGCTCATTTAACATTCTTAATTCAGGCCAGGCTTTAGTGCCTTGGACACAGGGACTTTCTATGCTCTAGGAAATAATTGTATTTCCCTGAATACAGAAATAAATTCAGAATCAAAGCTGGGTTCAGGCTGGGAGGAATGGGAACAGGGTGGCCTCTAGATGATCTCACACTGAGAGTCTAGTCCTGGCCTTGTCATTTACCATACAGGGAGCCTGAGAAGTTTCCAAGCCCTGTAGTCCTCAGGTTCTTCATCTATAAAATGGGCTTACCATGCCTTTTTATAGGACCAGTAAAGTGCAGCAAATATATTAATCCACATAGCAGATTTGACACATACTGAATGAGTGGTGATAAGCAGTTGGATCTACTATTACCATAAGCTCAGATACCATCACAGTTTTTCTGGAAAATTTGTGTTTCCCAGGGAAGTTTTAGGTCATTAGGAAACTAAATAGAAAACCACACAAATACACTACACCACTCAGTAAATGTTCCCCCATTATATTCTCTACAGTAGGATGTATTTCTTGATTAGATATTGAGGAGTCTGTCCCTGCTCGGCCCAATGAATTCACAGCTCCTGGAATTTGGGGGAGGAACCATAACCCCTCCCCACCAGCTTCCCATGCACTGGAAGAACTATTTTCAATCATATCTCCCTCACCAACAGTCTAGCCTTGGGGCTCATGAGGACTCCATGGCAATGAGGACTAAAACCCAGGCCATGCTAGTGACAAGGCCGGCTGAGCACAGACACAATTCTGAGACACTTCAGGCAAATTCACACAACCTCACATGACTAGCATAAACTTCCTGCACAAAGGACATAATTAAAAAGTGCCCCCGTGCAGTCCTGGTTGAAGAGAGAGAAGACACTCGGGAAACCTGAGAAGGGTCACTGCAGGGAGAACCACTTGGCCAGGCAGTCACCCGACCACTGGTACAACCGGTCAGTGCGACTGCGCAGATGCTCACGTCCATCTTATATGAGTGTTAGGGAAAACTGCCCTCAGGAGGAGAAGTTGCTCCAGGGAAGCAGTCAAATGGGCACAGCAAGACCCTTGAGGCTGGACAGTGCCAGAAGACAGAACACTTGACCAGAAACATTAGGGACTCACATCACCTGAGAGCCAGGCTTCTCTCTCAGGAAATCCTTGTAGAGGCTGGGCATGATCCCCTCAGTTTTGCCCTGTGTAGGACCATTCTTCTCATCGCTTGTCCCAGGAGAAGATTCTCTCAGCTTCATCTGTCATCTAAAAGTGCTGCACAGAGCAGTCTTCCATTCCCTCAGGCATTTATCTTAGGCCAGGCCACCTCACTTGGATGTCTGGCCCTTGGCCACCATGCAGCTGCACTAAAATCAACCCCTGCAGAAATTCGAACTGCAGTTACCCAAAGCCCCAAATCATCCTGGCTCAGCACTCATCATGGCTGCTCTCTGCTGGACTCCACCCACTGAGGACTCTCTTTCACATCCTTAGGTCTTAAGTCTATCTCCCAACAGTGGTTCTCCTGGTCTCTGCTATTCTATGGGCAGTATGGGTCCTGCTCAGTCTGGTGTACTCATGTTGCCAACACAGACACATGGCCTTCAAAGCGTTCACGTGCAATGAAGGTTTGGGGTCAGTGTGTCTGTAAGCAGATGGGCTTATTTATTGACAGTTAATTTCCCCAACAAATCTGAAGAACACAAGCATATTCAGGTGTTTATATGCAATAAATATAATTTTAATAGTACAGCTCAATGGGGGAAAAAGAATTAAAATCAAATCTGGGCTTCTTATCACTGTTTCTAGGGTTCCTCTAACTTGATGTAAATGTCTTACAATTTCCAAGGAAATTTCTATTCCACTCCTATTTTATCATAAATAAATTGAATGGTTTCTGTTTGTATGCTAAAACAGGAAAGACATTCGGAATAGAAAAGGTACTCCATTTGTGATCAAAATCACACAAAAATCACATTCCCATCAGAAAACACAAACACCAACATCACAAAATTGAAACTACATTTGAGGTCAATACCATTCAAATAAATTTGCAAGCTACTTCACTTTCCCCCCAAAAGGAACAATACTTCAAAAACTCAATGAAAACCCCTGTCCATTTCCAAGTAACCCAAATAGAAGAGACAGCAAGATGTTACATGTGGTATTTTACCTCCTCCTCTGGCCCTTCACTACTTAGAAAACTGCCTGCTCTCCTCAGAGACTGAAAATGGGCCTCATCTCCTCTGCGGTGGGTGGAAAATCAGTGACACATATGTGCAATATCCCCTATTTCTCAGGAACCCTGATGCTATGCCTAGTTGTGATTCCAAAGCCTCTTCATACAGTTCTGGGTAAGCCCTGGGATCTGTTTCATTGAGGTGGGCTATATGAGCTAGGAGTTTCATCTTGCTGGTTTCAGCGTGGGCCCTTGGACCCCACAGGAACTCATATCGAGGAGGATCACTATTAGGAACCTGATGGTACATCAGGTACTGTTCCCGTACTAAATCCTCGGTGATGAATTTCCAGGCTTCCTCAAAATAAATATGCTCAGCCTGAGCTAACATGTCCCATCTTCTCACTTTTTGGGTTAGGACCTCCACACTGATACGGTTGCCCTCTATGAAGATTAGAGACAGGACGAATATAAGGATATCAATTTTGATAGTGATTCTTTCATCATCACCACCTAGTATCCCACTGAATGTAAGACCCAAAATGGGGACCAGCTCATATGTGTTGCCTGAGCGATCCACTTTCCTGATATCAATTCCAAAGCCCAGGTGCACGGATTCACGGAGTTTCCAAAAGTTCAGATAGAAGTCATTATGGTAATCATGGGGCACAAGGTGCAGCATTTCTTTCATGGTGACCAGCTCCTTCTTTTGATACTTGTGGAGCAGAAATGGCACCAACTTACATAACTTGGGATTTAGGAGCACATCTTGCAGGATGTGAGAGAAGTTTGTGAACTTCGAGCAGCATGAATCCTGACTGGAAGCCATGAAGACAGCAAGAATTTGTTGAGGACTCAGAAGCCTGGAGGAGAGAGGCAGACTATTAGTGTTCTCATGGGAGGACAACAAGCTTGTTGTCTCCCACAGTGGCCTATGTAGGTCTCTTCTTTATAAGGTTCTCTAGGGTTTCACAGACTCTTGTCTTCCTGCAGGACCTGTCCCTATGACCCTGGGATATGAAGTGAGGCTACTCCTCAGGCTGAAGTTGAACTTTAGAGGACAAGGCTCTAGGGAAGATAGTATGGCATGTGGAGCTTGGGTACTAGGTGGTATCCTTGCTTTTGGTCAAGTGGTTCCCTAGGGCCTGCACTTTGACTCAACTCCTGGGCTTCCTTTATTGGGTGACTCTAGGACACTGCCTCACACCAAGACCTTCACTGCCCGGTTCCTGAAATTCCAGTAAAAGGCATGAAAGGCTCCAGGCTGCAGACCTAAATCACAGTCCTCACCCCCCAGCCTGCATAGGAGGGGTGGGCTGTTCTCTGTGAGGTCCTCACTGCTCTGGATGGAGAGTCCCCTCTCTATTCACTCAGGGACCCCAACTGTCTTTGAGAAGGGCCTGGACCCTAGCTCAGAACAGTTGCTGGCCTAAAGCAAACTCTTGGAAAATGTCTCTCCCTTCCCAAGAAGGACCAGAAGTTTGCAAGGGGGATATACATCATACTACAGCTGTCTGGTAGCAACAGCTAGAGGTGGAAAAATTCAGTGGGGTTCATATATCCTAAGAAAGGGAACCTTCTGCATCTTTATCTTAATAAATTGTTAGGGCTAGGACTTTTTTGGGGGGATATTGGGGATCGAACTCAGGCCCTTGTACTTGTGAGGCAGGTGGCATAACCATTGAGCTAAATCCCCAGCCCAGGTCTAGGACTCTTGCTGCAATGACTTGGGGCATCTTCTTTAAATCAGAGCAATATGGCTGTGAGACATTCAAGCAGAAAGTTGGGGAAAGCAAGTCCACCTACTTTCCCTGGGCCTGACTACAGGTGATAAAGTGGACAGGTGATGCTAGATTTGTGTGTGTTCAGGTGAGTGGGTTTCTTCTGCCTCATCTAGGCCCTTGATAGACACTGAGAATCTACTTCTGCTACCCCAATTCCAGCCCCCTTGTACAAAGGCAGGCCTTTACCTCACTGAGGCCAATGATGCAGAGCTAAGTGAGCAGCCTCAGCCTAACATCAATGATCAGTCATGCCTAGATGACACCAAGCACAAGTTCCATGTCAAAGAACCACACACCTGTCTGAGTTCAGGTCAGAAATACCCTAAATTATTCCTTAGAGTCCTAACCTTAATTCTTGGCAGATAACTGAAATGTATGTCTCCTGACCAGGTAGAGTTCGCTGTATAAACCTGAAGACAGCATCTCAGATGAACTCCCTCACTTCCTTGAGATCACCAGGATTCTCAAAAGAAGTGAGTAGGTGCTGATGCCATCACTCCTACTTGGGGACATCATTGTTGAGTGTAAGTACTGTGTCCATCTCTCTCGTGATGCAGAGGCCTGTTATGCAAGTCTGGATCTCACCAGTGTGATCATAGGTAGGACCTTCAGAAGATGAATGCATTATGAAGGCTTACAGCTGATATACTGTTAGGTGGTAGGGCCTTTTAGAAAGAGGAAGGTCACTGTGGGTGTGACAAGGTAGGTTATATCTTACTTCCTAGCTCTTTCTTTCACCCGCTACTTCCTGAAGGAGTTGTGGTAAGCAGCTTTCCCCTCACCAGACCCTTCCAATCTGCTGTGCTAGCTTGGAGCTGGCTGACAATGGACTGAAAAACTATAAACTGTGAGCTCAAATAAACTTTTCTTCTATTTCACAGGTGGAAGGTATTGTGTCTCAGAAGTGTGACCATAAGTAAGATAAACCCTAGGTGATTTTGTAATTGCTCCATCTTCCTCCTGTCTTTGCCTGCACTCTCTCAACCCCAGGCCTCTGGAGATGAGTTGATTTCTCCATTGGAGACCTATACCTTGTCTATGGTAGAACTGAACATGCCAATTATAGCTTCTCAAGGTGATCCGGGGAACAGGCAGATAGTGGGATCTGTTTTCTCTCTTGCAGATACCCTCAGTCCTCAGGAAGGTTATATACCTTAGGTCTTGTTAAATACTGGGATCCTCCATTTACTAACTATATGTAGCTCTTTTTACTGACTTGTGGTCACGCCCTGGTAGAAGTTCCTGACCACTGAATTTTCCCATTTGCAACCATTCAGCAGCATTGTGAGCAGTTTATATACAGCCACCCTCACCAGGCACTTAAGGCTTACAACAGGGGGAACCAGGCTCTATGGGGTCCCTTTGTTTATGGCGTTATGTTACCTTCAAATCTCCACTGCTGGAAAATAGAGTGCTGAGTAGTAGCAATTCAGCTGCTCCAAGAATTCAAATCCAGATTTTGAAAAATCACAACTGAGGAAGAGAGGGAAAAAAAAATGAAGCAGATACCCAGGAATCCTGAAACCTGACCTAAAATTTGAAAACTACAGAGTTCTGTAAATGTTAGTGAAAGCAAGAAATTAAAATGATACAGATAAGAAAAGAAAGTTATTACTTGTTATGACATGATACTCTATATACAGGACCCCCAAAACTCAACAAAAGACACTTAGAATTAATAACCAAACAGCAGCCTGGCAGGGATGTCAACGCTCAAAAATCAATAGCATTCCTGTACACAAATAGAAAACTCTGGCAGAAATTGGGGAAACCACACCTTTTATAATAGCATGAAGAAAAATGAAGTACTTAGGAATCAACCTAACAAAGGACATGAAAGACCTAATATTGAAAATTACAGTATTCTGAAAAAGGAGGATTGAACATTAGAAAATGGAAAGATATCCCTTGTTCTTGAATAGGCAGAACCAATATTGTGAAAATGGCCAGACTTCCAAAACTCCTATACAGATTTAATGCAAACCTAATAAAAATACCAATGGCATATCTCATAGTACTAGAAAAAAAACAACCCTAAAATTCCTATGTAACCAGAAGAGACCTATGTAAGCTATCTTATCTTTGCAAAAGGGATCAAACACCTTCACTGAGAGTGATAAGCCTCTTTAATTAATGGTGCTGGGAAATTTGGTTTTCCACGTGCCAAAAATTGAACCTAGACACATATCTTTCACCATACTCTAAACTAAAATTGATATAGATGAAAGATCCAAATGTAATACAAAATTTAATCTGCTAGAAGAATAGGTAAAACCCTAGAAGATATACATGTAGGAAAGACTATGAACAGAAAACCAATCATACAGGAAATATTACAAAGAATCAACTTCTGAGATCAAATAAAAATAGTTTTGAACAGCAAAAGAAACTAAGAATGCAGAGACAATCTGCAGAGTGAGAGAAAAATTTTATCAGCTGCTCCTCAGACAAGACTAACATCTAAAATATATAACTTTAAAAAAAGAAATCAGACCTAATTTTAAAAATCCAATCCAAAAATGGACATCTGAAATAAACATTTATCAGATGAAGAAATACAAACAGCAAATAAATGTATAAAATGCTTAATATAAGTGGTCATTGGAGAAATGCAATATAAAATAACAGCAATATTCCATCTCACGCTAGAAATAATGGCTATCATCAAGTAATCAACCAATAAAAATGTTGGTGAGGATGTGGGCAAAAAGGAATCCTTCTGCAGTACTGGTGGGAGTGTAAACTGGTACAGCCTCTATGGAAATCGGTATGGAGACACCTCAAAAAACTAAAATTAGAGGCTCCATTTGACCCAGCTGTTCCCCTTCTAGGTATTTCCCTGAAACAGTTAAAAAGCACCATATCATAGTGGTATGTGCATACTTGTGTTTATAGCAGCAAAATTTATAATAGCTAAATCTTGGAAACAGCCTATATGCCCATCAACAGATGAATGGATAAAGCAAATGTGCTATTTATATATAATGGAGTACTATTCTGCCATAAAGATGGACAAACTTGAGTCATTTGTAGGAAAACAGATGCACCTTGAGACCTTAATGTTAAGCGAAGTAGACACATGAGTTTAAATATTGCTTGTGTGAGAAACCCCAAGGGTAAATAAGAGGCATAATAGAAGATAGCGGGGCAAGCAAAGAGGGAAAAAGAAGAAAGAATAGAAGGATAAAAATGAAAACAAAGCTTTTGTACATGGGGAGGGGAAGAAATGTTGAAGTGAGGGGAGGCAATGGGGAAAAATTAGATATATTATGTATAGGCACAAGTTTCCTAAGATAAATAAATATCTACTACTAAAAAAGTTAAAAGAAAATAGAGACTATTTCCAATATTTATATACTACAAACCATGCCCCTATAAACAACCCATATGCCATCAACACATGAAGAAAATGTGATCTTTATTTACATTGGAGGACTACACTGCCTTAAAGAACAGTAAACTTGAGAAACATTTATGTAAATAGCTGTGAATAGGGAGCAGACTAGAAACAGAAGTCCTGGGGGTGTTAAACTCAACTGGGAAGGGCACAGGCTTTGCCCTGGTAGTCAGAGATCAGACCCAGCCTGAGTTCCTCTGGATTTGAAAACCTAGGCATTGACTATTCCTGCCCTTGCAGAGACTAAAAAAAAAAAAAAAACAAAAACAAAAAACAAATAATGAATAAATCAAATAGTTTTTTCATTAAAATAACAAAATTGTCAAAGCTCTAACATTCTAAGAAAAACAAGGACAAAATAGACCCAAATCCAAGCAATTAGAAATGTTAAAGGAAAAATCTCAATGGTTCCATAATACTGAAGATCAGGGCAATCACTTTCATAATCATACCTGCACAATCCTTAGTAAGATTTTAGCAAACACCAGAACAAATCATCAAAAGGATAATACATCAACATGACGTAGAATTCATTCACAGTTAAAGGGATGGTTCAGTAAGCCCAAAGAAAAAGATAATACAATGCATAACAGAAGGTTAAAAAAAATATACGATCATCTCAATAGACACAGAACGAATATTTGACAAACTCTAATATCCATTCACAATGAACACCCTGAAGAAAAAGTATAAAACAATCTCATCTCATTTGCATGAAAGCCACCTAAGACAAACCAATAGCCAAATTCATATTAAAAAGGGAGAAGCAGAAAGCGTTCCCTCAAAAATCAGGAGAAAGACAAAAATGCTGCTGTCACAATTCCTGTTCAGTGAAATTCACAGCACATTAGTCAGCGCAATCAGGAAAGAGAAAGAAATTAAGACATATGTATAGGAGATGAAGGATTAAATTTTCATTTTTTGTATATGTGTTGCTGAAGAGAGCACAAATTTTCATTTTTTGAAAATGACACGATCTCTACATAGAACACCCCAAAAAGTCCACTAAAGCACTGCTAGAATAATCAAATTCAGTAGCGTACAAGGTAACAAAGTCAACACTAAAAATCAATTTCATTCCTATACCTTAGTAATAATCTCACCAAAATAGAGATGAAAGAAAAATACCTCTCACAATAGCATCAAGGAAAAAATGCTTAGGAATTAATCTAACCAAAGAAGAGAAAGATCTCTACAATGAAACAGGAATCTGAAAAAGGATATTGAAGATCATAGCAGAAAATAGAAAGATACACTATGGCTGGATAGGCAGAATGAATGTAGTCAAAATGGTCATACTTCCAAAACTATTAGTATACAAATGCAATGCAACCTTAATTCAAATGCCAATAGCATTCCTCACAGAATGATAGAAAATAATTCTAAAATTCATATGGAACCAGAAGAGACCCTAAAACAAAAGCAATCCTGGGACACAAGTTCAAGGCAGGAAGTATCACAGTCCTAGATCTTAAAGTACAAAGCTACAATAATAGAACCATCATGTTACTAGAGAAAGCATACTTCTGGGATGAGTGGAACAGTGAAACAGAACTCAGGTTACACATTCTACAACACCAAGCAACTTCAACTACCTTATCTTTGACAAGGGACAAATACTCTTGCTAGAGGAATGACCACCTCTTTGACAAATGGTTCTGGGAAAACTGGCTATCCACATGCTGAAGACTGAACCTAGAGCCACATTGCTCACCATGCACTAAAGTAAAATCAAACTACATCAAATATCTAAATATTAAAACAATCTGCAGAAAGACAAAGTAGGTAAAACTGACCAACACAGGCTTAGGCAAGGTCTTTATATACAGAAATCCAGGTACACAAGAATGCCAGGAATCGTCACATGGGATCAAATCAAAGATTATCTTCACAGCGAAGGAAACAATGAACACTGTGAAGAGATAATCTACAGAATGAGAAAAAATTGATAGCTATTCTTCAGACAATGGGCGAGAATCTAGCATATACAAAAATTCATACAGTTTGTCTCAATTAAAAGACCCAATTAAGAAATGGATTTCTGAACTGAATGAAACTTCCCTTATGAAAAAGTACATATGGCTAATGAATATATTTAAAAAATTAAACATTTCTGGCCATTTGATAAATGCCAATGAAAAGATTTCACCTCACTCCAGAATGAATGGATATCCTCATGAAATCAAATGATAAAAAAATGCCTTGTGAGACTGCAGGGGATAAAAGAATACTCTTGTTAGTGGGCGTGTAGGCAACTACAACCACCAGAGATTTAGAAAACTAACACTAGAAATTTAATGAGATATTTCCCTTCTAGGTTTTTTTGCTGTGAAAATTAAAGACATCAAAATACAGTGATACATACCCATGTTTATAGCAGCAAGTTTCACAATAACTAAATCTTCCAAAAAGCCTATATATCCAGCAGCAACTGGATAAAGAAAATGTACATATGGAGTACTACTGTCCAATAAAAAAGGATAAATGTGAGTCATTTGTATGAAAATGTATACAGCTCAAGCCCATAATGTTAATGTAAATCAGACACATAATCTTAAATATTGCATGGTTTCTCTTAAATTAAAAAGCCAAATATAAAAACAAAAGAAAATGTAGACAAGAGATATATTTAGCATATGAGACGGAACCAAGAGATTCAGATAGGGAGGAAAGAGTAGAAGAACATCAGGAGAAAAGGGGGAAATTGTGAAGTTTGCACATCCATCAAGTCCCTACAAGGAATGCGATCATTATGTACTCCAAACATGTATAGTGCATGGAGCTTTTCCAGTGGGTTGGGGTGGATGCCCTCATTCCTCCCTCTGGTGCCTGACCCTATTTCTAGGCAATCTGCACACCCATCCCTGTTTACTCTGTGCCTTGTCACATCAAGGCCAAAGGATGGTGAGAACTCATTCTTACAAACCAGTCCCTGTGGGTCTCAAGACCAACAACAGAGATGGATCTTGATTGGTCACAGACAGTCTTGCGGAACTGGGGTTTCCTCATGCCTTCAGGACCTCACCTGGAGCAGGACCAGGTTCTCTCTGTTCCTTTCCCATGAAGAACAGACATCAGAACCAGGCCTCCCCTCCCTCTATGAGAACAGAGACAGAAGTCAGTGGTTGTCCTACCCATACCTTCACAGGGCTGACAGGAAGTTCTCAAAGGAATTTTCTCCAAGCCCCTCTGTCCTCCCTCAGGCCTCACCTTCGCCTCTCCCAAAGCAAGGACCTCATGACACATGTCAACCCCAGTGTGTTCCTTTCTGGACAAAGTGTCTGACACTCCGGGAATTCTAAGGTAGAAAGGTCCCTGTGGATCAGCAGAGTGGAAGTGGAGCGTCCTGGCAAGTGTGTCCCAGGTACATGGCTGACAACCCAGGCAGGTACATATCATCTGGGGACTGCTTAGGGTTTCCACGCTTACAGGTTAACCCTCAACTTGACCTAGCTGAGCCCAGATCCCTTTGCCTGCTCCCACTCCAAGCAGAGGCCTCAGAACCAGGCTACAAAGTCCCTGAGGCAAAAGGGGGGTGCTCACCTGAGGATTTTCACTGCACAGTGCAAGGCTGGTAACAGAAGCAGGAACGGGTTCTTTTCAGAGTCTCAACCTGGAATGTGGCCTCCTCGCTCACCCTCAGCCACTGAACTCCACCAATCTCGGTTCTTATCTTTTCACCCCCACCTGAAATGCATACCTCAGAATAAGGCTTCTACTCCCAGAGTCACCTGTGTTTCACTTGGGTGAGGGGCTCATACCTAAAAATCTATACCTGTGTGTTTCAGGGCCCACAGCAGAGATAGATTTCGATTAGCTCAGGGAACTCCATTTGAGGTGAGTGTTTAACCGTAGCCCCCTAGACTCTCACTTTGACTTAACTAAGTCAAACCCTCTTGTAGGAGATGTCCCTGCCCAGTACTATTGGCTATGAGTGGCACATGCTTCTTGACTTCCATAATTTGACTATATTTTTTATATCAGGAGTCAGACCAAAGCCCTGCATGACTCAAACAGGCACGTCACCTAGCAGAGTTGGGCTGGCATTGCTCCTTTGCTAATAGCTGTCACTGAGGCCTAAGTCCTGGTCTGTGAAGTGGCAGGGCTCTGCTGAGTTATGCACAGCTGAGGTCAGTGTGACCCCAATTAAAATCCTTTCCCTTGAATTATCGCTTCTCACTGACCTTGTGGAGTGCTTGCTAATTGCCCCTGGTCTTAGTACAGGTTTGTTCTATCCTAGCCAGATAAGCAGTGCTGACTCCCTAACAGCTCTGCCTGGCACCATCACACCAGGTGTTCAGCAGTATTCACTAGGTGCCTTCAAAGCACACCCGGCTCCCTATTCCTTCCCATGATTATATTCAATAACTAGTGGATATGCTTGGCGGGGGGCTTTGTCTTTGCTGCCATCGGTAGCACTGAGCAGGACACAAGAATTAGCTTCTTTACACTAAGTCTCATTTCTGTTCTTAAATTCACCTTGTGCTGTGGTAGCTCACTGTCCAGGATCCAAGGAAGTCCTAAGAACAAACCCTTCCCTGCTCCCTATACCCTCTCTGTTTTCTAGACCTGAAGCCTATTCCTCAGAACTAGGCTCTGACTCTCTTCACATGGTGGCCTGAGGTAAAAGGGGTGCTCTTCTGAGAATTTTCACCCGGTGCAAGACTAACAACAAATGCAGGTCTTGGTTATTATAGAAACTCTCTCTCTCTCTCTCTCTCTCTCTCTCTCTCTCTCTCTCTCTCTCAGGTGGTGATTCCTCACTCTGCCCTCAACCCTGCCTTGACCTAATTGATCACAGATATTTTGCTCCTCCCACCTGAAGTACAGTCTTTAGAAAAATTCTCTCTAGGATAAAGAGCGTGGTCTTCTGAGAATCTGGCACTGGGTGGTACAGGGCAGGCAAAACAGGCTTTTCCAGAGCATTCTGAGATCTCACTGTGATGGGGATTCCTCAAAACCAGGCACCCCCCCCCACACACACACACTTGGGCCTAAGTGATCACAGGCTCTCTCTTCCTCTCACCTGAAGTTCAGTCTTTAGGACAAGCCTCTCATATTGCTCAGGTCCCAGGGAGAACAAAAAGAGCTCTCACCTGAGAATTTTCGACCACAAGTGCAGCACACAGCAGGCAACAGAACCTTTTGTAGAAAAATGTAGGACCCTCTTTCTGGGATGGGGCTTCTTCAGTTCTCCCTCAGTAGACAGCTTGACCTCAATTAGCCCAAGTCCTCTCTACTCCTCCCTAATGAAGGCAAGAGCTCAAAACAAGTATTGAAGATGTAGAAACACTTCTAAATTCATTTTATGAGATCAGCCTTAATTTGATTTCCAAAAACTGGACAAAGGCAATACCATAAGCTAAGGATCACTGTCAAGTGTGAATATAATGGTAAAATTCTCACCAAAATGTTATCAAATTCAATCCAACCAGATTAAAAAGGATAATGTATTGCGATCACATGGATTTATCCTAAAATAGTAAGGCTGGTTCAGCATTTAAAAAGTCACTCACCATGTTAGAGTAAATAAGAAAACCACAAAATCATATCAATTGCTATAGGGAAAGCATTAGGTAAAAGCCAATATCATTCATGTTTTTTATTTAATCTCTGAACACCAGGAATAAAAGATAATTCTCACCCCCTAATGAAGCGAATCTATTAAAAACCTAAGGCTAGTACAATCCTTTAAAGTGAAAGATGGAATGTTTTCCTTCTAGGCTGAGAACAAAGCAAGTCTATTTGTTTTCAGCAATCCTGATTAACACACATGAAAAGGAAGAAAAAAACCTCATCTTTATTAGGGGAGAATCACTAAGTGAAAATCCAGTGAAGGCTAAAATAGTTCTTTAATTTGGTCAGCAAAAAATTCATAGTCATACGTAGTACATGAGTTCAATATCAGGCCCCAAAATTATTTGTATTTCTATACATTAAGCAATCCATATTTGGAAATGGACACTTTAGCACTTGCATCAAGGTGTAATTTTTTTCAAAACCTGTAAATGTTTAATGTACACCATTAGGTGAGTTTTGATATATCATCACACACATACAACCATCATGATAATCAATGTATCACATTCAAAAGTTTCTTTGCACTCCATTGTATCTTGATATTTAATTTGGGAAGAATCCATAGCATGAGGTATATCCTCTTAATTGATAGATTTCACAAACTGAGCAAAAAATGCCTCCATTTCCTTCTCTTAGATCTTGACCGCCATCACTGTATTCTCTGCTTCTATTGGTTTGACTTTTTTTTGTACCGGGGATTGAACTCAGGTCCTTGCACTTGTGAGGCAAGCAGCAGAACCACTGAGCTAGATCCCCAGCCCTAGTTTGTCTATTTTTGAAACTGCTTATAAGTGAATCATTTCAGATGTATTTTTGTTACCGGTTTATTTCACTTAGTATAATATAAAAAAGCAGCATCATTTACAATACTCTTTGAACACTTGCATATAAACCTAACAAATTATTTGCAGGTTTTGTATGCTGACAACAACAAAATGATGCTTATGAAAATAAAAGACCTAAATAGTGGAAAGATACAGTATGGTCATGAGTTGGAAGACTCATTATCATTATGATGTTAGTTCTCTACATATTGATCTATGGATACAGTCCCATCAAAATCATGGCAGGCTTGCTTTTTTATGTATGTGTTTACTTTGTCATAGTGGGAATTAAACCTAAGGACTTCACGCTAAGCTACACCCAAAGCCCTTTTTTTAATTTTTTCTTTTGAGACAGAGTCTTTTTAATTCACTAAGTTTCCCAGCCAGGGCTGAAGCTTGGAATCCTCCTGCCTCAGCCACCTAGGGATTACAGGCATGGGACACCACCCTCAGGTACACAACAGGGTTTTTGTAGATACCAATAAAATGATTCTGAGTTCCATACGAAAAGGAATTTGTGATAAAATTGGAAGAAAACTTTGGTAAAGAATAAAATTAAAGAACTGACTCTGTTCCTAAGACTTTACACAAAGTGATAGCAAACCAAAGCCAGACAGTGTGATTATGGTAAGCAGACAGGCAGACAGATAGATGAATATAAAAAGAGCAAACACCTGGAAATAGACCTCAACAAATATGACCAATAGATTTTTTGCAAAGTTTCAATGGCTATTGATCGAGAAAGTATAAAGTTTTCAATAAATGATACATAAATATTTGCACGTCCATATACATAAATATAAAAAAGTACAATCCAAGAAAAAAATAAAGAATCTTTATCTATGTTCATATCCTTTATTTTTCTTTTGTAGTGCTGGGGATTGAACTCATACATGCTGAGCTACACTTTCAGCTCCAGAGTATCTCAAGTCATATACATAAATTATCTCAAAGTGGATCAAAGATCTAAATGAAAAAAAAAAACTAAAATTTTCAATGAAAGTACAGGAAAAATTCTGTGATTTCAGGATAGGCCAAATCTTTCTTAGATACAACACCAAGAGCATGATATGTAAAAGATAATTATATTGAATTGGATTTTGTATAATTTTAAAGTATATTTATATGGGTTTTATATGATTCCCTATAAAAGACACTGTTAAAAATAATGAAACTGCAAGCCATAGTCTTGGATAAAGTACTTACTAAATACTTATCTGACTTCTCATCTCAAGGTGCAGACAGCAGACACAGGCTTTTCCAGAATGTTCTGGGACCATGTCTCTGAGGCCAGGCTTCCTTAGTCCTCCCTCAGCTCTCAGCTTGATCTATCTGATCCCAAATCCTTTCCTGACTGAAGCCTGCACAGCAAAACAAATCTCAAGCTCTGCACTTGGGATCCCCTGAGGACATAGGGGTCCTGACAAGGGAATTCATTCCAGGGGAACAGGGCTTAACATCGGTAAATCTGGATTGTTTAGGAACCCTCTCCCTGGGATGAAGCTTCTTAACTCCCCATAGCCTTTCAGCATGACCCCTGAGCCCAGCCTCCTCAGCTCCCCTCACTTGAAACCAAGATCTCAGAAGAGACGTTACACCTCTCTGACCCAGTCAGTGGGGGTCACAACCAGCAACATGCCAGGGGTCTCCCAGGGCTGACTGAAGGAGCGGAATGGAATCGATGGTGTTCACTCCTTTCTCCCCAGGATGGTCACCTAGGTTCCTGGCAGAGCTAGGAACCCCATCCTCTCCTGCATTTCTATTCCCCTCAGACCAAGGCTCTAACTCCCAAGGTATTCTAAGTGCAAAAAAGTCTCCTTGAAAACCCTGAGGGTGCAGGGCTGATAAGGGAGGGAGACCTGGCTCATTTGCGGAAACTCTCTTTGAGTTGGGGCTTCCTTACAACACCCACAGCCCATCGTCGTGACCCCCTAACTGAGCTCAGGTCTCCCTGTTACCCTCAGCAGAGGAAAGAAATTAGAACAAGGCCCTTAGAAAAATGTGATTCCGTAGTTCAGAGCATCTGTGGATGTCACATTCTGCAATTTGCCCAGGGTCTGAGTTAAAAAGCAGAATAGGATTCTGCAGTTCTCTGTTCTTCCTGGGGTGGTCACCTTGGTTCCCAGCAGCACCTGGGCCCTGGGCCTGCGCACTCAGTCAGTTTCGCTCCATCTCCAGGAGGCCCCTGTGGTGGCAGATGTAGGTTAGCAGCG